AAAGGAATCGCGCGACCAACTTTCCCACCCGCAAGGCTTTTGGCCAGGGCGGGAGGGTGGGTGCCGAAAAAGTCTTGAGATGTGACAGGCGGCAAGCGTTCACATCAGAAATCTGCACAGCAGTAAACATGATGTCCACTCAGCCAGCTCATATGTGTTAGCTGCAAGCGCACACATTTTATGAGAGAAGTGGCAAGGCGGCCGTCTCGGGCTCACTGCTATCCGAAGGACGTCGCAGCAACTCCCGCTTAAAGGAATCGCGCGACCAACTTTCCCGGATTAAACTGTCAGAAGGACGTACTGGAAAAAGGGACCCTTCAACTAATAATCGAGCAAAATGTAAAAAGACGATGCTGGATGCGGTTAGTGGCAGAGTCAGCTAGCACCTGTGCGAACTGCCGAGCCCATCTGTGCGGGTAGGCCTGGGCGATGGCGGTCCAGCTCTTGCCCTGCGGGGAGTGGCCACAAAGTCGAAGATGCTTGCGACCACTGCGTGAGCAAATGCCGTTGGCACCTGTGCACTTCAGGACAGGGGCCTCGGAGAGGCAGTGCCAACCACACACTCGAGTCCGCTTCTTCCACTGAGCGCCGTACTGGCAGTAGTCTGAGACGAACTCCTGACAGCACGACAAGGTGCGAAGCTGCGCAATGGGTTTTGCTTGGAACAACTTGCTGGCATGCGGGTTTTCCAGCAGGCAGGGAACAGCTGCACGAACGCACCGCTCAATGATGTTAGCAGAGAAAATCATGGTAGCATTGCCAAAGTGAACCGCGCGAAGATGTCTACCACAAAGGTTGGGTACACCCAAAGGATACTTTCGAGTGCGAACAATAGGAGAGGCGTGGGCGACCGACCAGGTAGTGCACGGGCATCCCAGCCAGACTCCTAGCACAACACCGCTAGCGATCCAACCTTCGAGTGTACTGAGAACGGCAGGGTGGCAAACGTCTTCACAAGGGTTGAAGGCGATGTCGAGAGAGACAACGCCAAACCCAAGGTTTCTCAGGCATCCTGAAATCTCCTGTGTGCCAGCAAAGAGCTCAAGGAAGACTTGATGCCTGTGAATATGCGCAGCTTTACGGGCCCGGTATAAGAGGCCCCGTAGGTGCCTGCGAACAATGGCATCACTCAATGCGCAGGCAGAGGCTTGAATAGCAGGCTCAGCTGCTCCAGGCTCGATCCGGCTGGGCACGTCACTGCAAGTTGAAGAAGTCGAGCACTGCGAGGCAACTGTTGCTCCACGAAGGCACCGTACAGGCGAGTGGCCAAAGGTACTTTGTGGATCTGCTGTTGGGCCAGCGTCGCCTTCTCGTACCTGCGGAGACTGGAGTCTGCAGCCCACCGCCCTCTCTTCTTGATTTCCTTCAGCGGAGTCCCCCTCAGACGGAGATCGCTTGCGCCGCCATGTCTGTTTCCATGCAGAGTCAGGTTGAGCTCGTGAAGGTTCAGGTAGTCTGCGGCTTCTTTGAACTTGCGTCCGAGCTGCACCCCGGTGAAAGGGAACAAGGGGCCGAACTTGGCTCGTGTGGCCACTAGCGCCTCGAGAGCGGGCAGGATGAACTCCACTTGCTGACTGAGGGTCACGCTCTCGTCGAAGACATTTGCTTTGCTTGGAGTGTTGCTCTCCTCGGATGGGGCCAGTATCACCCCCCAGGACGGCATGTTGGCCGTCGGCATCGGCGGGACCATGTGCTGCGGCTGTAGTCCTATCAATTCCCCGGGCCGCAAGAGGAGGTCCCACTGAATGAGGAGGGCGATTGCCATCAGCACTTCCCCGTGCGCCAAAAGCAGGCCCACGACGGCGATGAAGGCGACCCAAGGTGTGGGCAGCCTCATTTGCGGGGGAGCCAGATTTCGGAATCCTTCGAGGGCCTGAGTGGCACGTGGCAACGTCAGAGATCCATGTTTGCCGAACTGGGGGTGCTTGAACTTGAACGCGGCGAAAACGTACTCCGCGGCGCTGACGTTTTGGTTCAACACGTAGAGCTCGTTCAGGTAGCCGGTCAAGAGGGCGTCCCAGTCCGAGGTCAGGCTCTGGTAGAACTGGACCCACTGGTAAAAGGCCAGGAGGACCTTGGAGTAGCGGTCCTGTGTCGTAGTACGCCGAAGCTTCCCCATCTCGAGTGCAGATGTCGCTCCCGCCAGGATGGCTGGCACGTCCGGCACCGCAGGGTCGATCCGCCGAATTTTGCAAGGTCGAGGCTGAGCTTTCGCAGCTGGGGGACGCAAAACCCGGACCTCCATGATTGGGCGAGGCCTCGTTTGCAGCACACTGCAGATGCGAGCCAGAGAGGGGCTGACGGGAGGGCTTATCTGCGGCGTTCCTTTCCGAAGGGATCCACCGAACATGAATTCGACAGTCCGACGCCAATGACAAAGCACAGACTTGGCGGCATGTGTTGTTCAGCAGTGATGAACCACTCCTGCCCTTGCAGACCCCTAAAGCGAGAGAAAGGTTATCAACAAGAACAAGATGTCTCCTCTGCTGGCTCCGCACGGCCCGTAACTTGTGACGAATGCCACTGATCATCGCACGGCCCTCGGTCCGCAAGATGTTCTCATGATAATCCCAAGCTCCGCTGAAGACGGTGTGCCAGGCCTCAAAAGAGAGTACACCGGCGGGGATCTCCTTGAACTCAGAGCTGCAGACACGAGCACACTCCTGCTGAAGATCAGCAGGGAGATGCTCCTCCGGTTTTAGTCCCAAGGCATTGGCCCGCGCTTTGATGGCACCCTCGACGGAGTAGCGCCATTGTTCGCAGGGCCTTCCGCACTCAGCAACAAAGGTTGGTGCCAAGCTGCGCTCACAAACCCCGTAACCAACTTCAGAACTATCGGTAGCACTGACTGTGGCATCCCAGGGCAAGGCCCACGAGGTGCTCA